CACCAAACATGGCAAGCTTTAAAATTGTGCGCGAAAACAACCACACCCAAAATTGGCCATAGGCGACGCTTTAAAAACTTTTACCGCTCATCAGTTTAATATTATCAGTAATTAATGGCCCTAAAATTATTGCTCTCATGCCGACGTTCATGGCGATATGTAACATGTGCGGCACAATAGTCAGAATCGTCGTTTCTGCGCGTTGGCGCACCCGCCGCATGTTTGCGTGTGTATGGGGGGCGGGGGACTTTAAAACATTTTTTTAAACTTAACTTTATTGCTATCACATAGGGAACTAAGAAATCCCCTATGTGATAGCCAATTCATGACAGGTCCCCTTTATGGAGACATCAGGGGTCTCCAAGACCCCTGATGTCACCTAGGAACCCCCCAGAGAAGCTGATGAAGCAGATATCTGCTTCACCAGCTTCTCACCGGTGTTCTGTACCGGAGAGTGACACTGAATGCAGGATGTGATGTAATATACATCATTTCCTGCATTCAGGACAGAAGAGATCAAAGGGAGGTCGTGTAATGATCTCTCTTTGATCTCCACTGACAGCATCACCAGGCACAGCAGATCTCAGGACCGGCAGCAAGCGGTACGAGGGGGGCGCACAACTCCTGCAAGCGATCGGGCGTCTCTACATTACATTGCTAACAGTTCTCCACTCGTGTGCGCGCTGAGCGCCATGCACCAGTGGGGGGAGGGGCAGGACGTCTTAAGACTCCCGCCCGGCCATTCATGGACAGCCATGGACGGGACGTGGTTAAAATGGTACATTTTCTCAGTTTAAACATTTGATATGTTTTACATTTTCTACTGGGAATAAAATTTGGGTTTATGAGATTTGCAAATCATTGCATTGTTTTCTATATAGATTTTACACAGGGTCCCAACTTTTTTAGAATTGGGGTTGTAGCTTATAAACCTTTTGCCTTTAATATCCCTTTAAAGGAAAGCGGTTATGAGAGCAACATACTAGACAAAGTTACAGATTTGCTTTATAGGACGGACTGTAGACTAGCTTTACTCCTCTTCTCTAGTGCCTGATCAATACTCACTGGTATCACAGAATATAATGTATTCTAACACCTGGAGTTTCTTCTGACTGATGGTGACCCACCAGAGGACAACGTCAGACTGTACACCAAGAATGTGCAGTGTCCAACTTTGGGAACCAGATTTTAATACCAATTGGTAAAGTGTAAGCTTCTTATCAAACTATTAACTTTTTCTCTTGAAGCATGAGGTATAAGCTGAGCATAGTTGTACCTGCCTTTTAACAGTGATCACTGTACTTTCAAACCACACCAGTATCATCTTTTACAAGACCAGCAATGTACTGCAGAACTGATAATCGTTTACCCTATGTTCTTTTGCAGAGTGCCGAACCTTCAAAGGGCACAGAGACAGAATAAAGTAAGGGAGCTTGCATACTATTGCCATGCCTCACCCTCTTGGTTGACAGTGCTAGGAAGTGTTGAAGAGCTCTGTACAGTGCTCTTTATAGAAACACTTTTTTTCTTTTTATGATCACTCTTCCAAATGTGATAATGAAAGAGACAGAAGAACATAAAAAAATATACATACATTTTCAATGTTACATACACATAGATACACACCAAATGCTGGCTGGTGACCTGGTCCCCAAAGTCTTTATTTGCAGTCTCATTTACTGCAATTTCCTTAGTCACTACTAGGTGGTGGCTGAACAAAGACAGGCAACAATTACAGGAGTCCCAGTATGAGTGGGGGTTCCACCTGCCCTAGTGGGCATCTGTGTGTGCCAGCAGGACTAGTGTGTGTGCCAGGAGCATAGTGTCTTGTTTGTGAATACAGATAAGTGAGATGCATAGATACAATTATGTGCAACTAAAGTTGGATTTGTCTGGGTCTGTTTTACTGAAAGAGACATGCTATTGCTTCTTCTGCAAGAAAAAGGACTCTTATGTGCCTCTTTATCTCCTTATTGACAATGTGCATACGCAGGTCAAGTGTACAATGTCAGCATATCGTAGGATGAATGAACTCCCACATGACAGAAGACTGGGTACAGATGTTTGCTCTGGTGAGGGAGCTGAGTGGAGTTCGCCTTTAAAGTGTCTTCAATTTTAGAAATGCATTCAAGTACCTTAACTATTAAGAAAAAATTATCTTATTTGTGTATTACTTGGCTGTAGATTCTCAAATCAATTGAATGAATTTGTGCTGACACTGTCCTACCTTCTGGAGGGTGCCTACTTTTGATCCCCATGGTCCCTGTGTGCTTTTCTTTTTGGATCCCAAAGGGGGATTTTTCATTGAATTACCGCACTGTAGCCGCATTCCAAGTGTGTGCCTGCAATTGTATCGGTCCCATTTACCTATATAGTCGCGTTTGGCTGGTAGCAACACCTGACAAATGTAACATGCTGTATAATTTGTCTTGAAGCAAGCATGGCTGCCATGTATACAGCACTATCTCGCCACAATGCTTCTATTGCAGCACGGGGCGGAGTAGTGATAAAACCATGTGCCTAAACAAGGCCTTCAAGTGGTTCTGTATCATGAAAAAAAAAAAATGCCAGCAAACACAAGTTTTTTGGTAGAAGAGCAAAAGTATCTGAAACAGAATGGCCGAAAATGGCACTTTTGGCAAAATGCCGAAACTACGGCGCATTCCTAATTTCTCTTATCCCCGCTGACACTGCGCATTGGCCAGTGGGGAGGAGAGAAACGATCAGGAGGCCGAGAGCAGTATCATTGTTGTTGTCGCAGGTGGCTGAGCTCTCCTCCCACAGCTGTCACAGGAGGTAGTTCCAGCGGTGCTGGGGAGGAGTCAGCTATCAAATGAGACGAAGTTCTCCTCCCGCACCGCCAGCTCAGCCTTCTGCGACAGTGAGTCAGGATGGAGAGCGGGCACAAGCAGTCAGCGATAAGCTGGTCGCTGAGTGTTTGTAAATAATTGAGGACAAAGTATGTTTACTGTGTCCCCCAATTATGAATAAACAGGAAGTGCTCTACATCACTTCCTGTTCATTCATGATTGTGGACATGATAAACATATCTCCACAAGTTATGAATGAACAGGATCAATCAGTATAAAGGCTTCCTGTTCCTTAAATAACACGGGATGCAGAAAGAGATTAAGTACTGTGTCCTCAAGCTTTCTATTTTAAAAGCGAAATATCAGGAGTCTGTTTAGGCCCCTACTAATTCACAGAAGCCCCGGCAGTAAAGTTAGAAAAAAAAAAAGTTAGATAATATTTTTTGTTTTCGGCCTAACCATTTTCTTTTAAATTTTTGGTTTCAAAATTTCCTTTCAGTGCACCTCTATGCAAAACCCCTTTCCCTTTGTGCTAACAAACATTTTCCCTAACAAAGGCTGCAGCACATATATCAGATGCAGAAGAGTAGAGCTGAGCGGTGGTATGTTGTAACTGCCTTGACTATGCATGGGTTTTGCATTATCACTGACTCTATGGCTAAAAGAAGGAAGACACCGGCAGCAGGAGAAGCTTCAATGAAGAGGTTACCAGCGGCTGTGGGGCAGTGTAGGAATGCATAAAATGATCCTTACTGGGGCAAAGCTAATGCAGCTGTAAGTTTGCTATAATGTGCACGTATGTTGTATAAACGTGTATGTGCAACACAGCTATAGACAAGAACAGGCTGAACAATGGACTATGGTTTTCTTTCCATTGTGCCAACTATGCTAAAGCACGGAGAAATCAGATCACAGATAGTAATCTACCACTGGCCACACCAATTACAAACTAGTTGTTGAATCCCCTTTAAGATTTACTGACAATGATGTTGCAAGAAGACCTACCTGATGAAAATGAGGGTCCATTTACTCCACGATCGTTGGGTTGCATTGTTCACCGCAGTTGGAAGAATGCACCCCTTACAGATAGATGAAAAGTGGATTAATAACTTATCTAAAAAGCAGACATTTCTCTAAGAACCTCTAGTGGAAACCAACGGTTACAATAAACCCTGGTTAAGAAAGACTGCTCTAGAGTATCAGGACATGCCTGTGGGTGACTCAGCTCACCATTGCCTGCCTATACCTGTAAAGTTTTGGTAGAACAAACCATTTAAAGAGCACTTGTTATGAGAATATTGGAGCCTGGTCACCTCAAAAAGGCTAGCTGTCTGGATCTTGCTCTAATACTTTTTAGTTGCAGATCCAAGGGGGTCCCAACACACATTTAGTAAATAAAAGTCAGTGCTCATTTTGATTGTTCCAGATCAACATGACAGCCCTGGAATTATTTTTTCAAAGGAAAGGTCAGTAATGGCAGGCCACCGATCCTCTCATGACAGGTGTACTTTAAGTCCACAGTATTCTTTACTCAAGGAGACACAAGCCAGTTATTTTACTATACAGGAAAGGACTAACATTGAATTTAATCTTGGAGCCTTGACCCTTGGGCCGGAACAATACTGAAATTTCAAACTGCTACAATTTAGTTAGTTTTCAGTTCCCACACTACCAAAACGTTAATGGACAGTGAGGATCACTCTATAAACATAATAAAATGGTTAAAATAAAACCAAAACCATAAGAAAATGTTACATTTAGCAGAGGTCATGGCTAATCTCTTCTTATTGCATTCCCAATATACACAGTCACGTTATTTACATACTTTTTATTCTGATATTCCCTAAAAGGTTTGACTTTTAGCATATATGGAAATAAAACTATTACAAATGAAAACACGTCAGTGTGTTTTCTTTTACAAATTAAAAAGCCCTCCAGACAAAATTATATAAACAATTAGTTAGCCATATACGTTTCTGAAAAACAGTACACCAAGCAAGCTTGTTTCAAAAAACAAAAAATACTTAAAAAATGTACAATGAAGTTATTTAAATTCTTCAGTTTGACTTCCACAGCACAGATCAAAAACACAATGTATATGTCCAAACTAACTTGCTTCAGTGAAGCAATTTTTTGTTGATTAAAACTAGAAGCACATAAAAAAACCAAAACAGAAAAAAAAAACCAGGCCAAAAGGTGCAATGCTACAACAGCAACATTTTTTAAATATAAAACTAACAGCTCCTCCGAAAATTACATACAAATAATATACTTTTAGCATAAACAGATTACAAACTTATTGTATTTCCTAAAAATAAATCCAATTTAGTGGAATAGTAAAAATTAGACTTTAGGATAAGCCTAAGGGATGCAGATCAGTAAGAAGTCTTGGAAACTGGAACCCGTGTAAGACAGTCACGGAACGCTGGTGATAATAGAACAACTTGTTCTTCATTGCTGGTGGACTTCCTGACTTTTTCCAACTACAGCTCTAGACTTCCAAAACAATGATGGTAATATCTGATGCAATAAAAAAATAAATCTGATAAAAGAATTTCTCTCAAAATTAAAAAAGGTGTTGACTTGTGTCCTTTACCATCCCTTGTTTTTAGTCTACTCAGAGTTAGGTATTTTAGGGGTTAGCTAAAATACCTCCCTCTTCTGCCAGTATTTGTTGTCTGCTCACTGCTGTTCTGTTGGTCTAAGTCTGATAAGGATAATGGCTTTAGGTTAGCCCAAGGGTCCTCAAGCATGGATGGTCTGTAATAGTTTTCCACATCATTAGACACTCTTTTCTCTCTGCCATGCGCTGTACCGTATGGTGTAGATGTCCTGGGAGAACCCTTCGAAAGAAAATCATCAGGTAAACAAATATTCAATATAAGTCCTCCAATTTTAGAAAATTGTTATAGTCAATTGTTATATGTACGATTTCAAACATTTGTACCCGCCATCTCCCTAATTAGAAAAGTAACCATTAAATTAAGCAAATGTAGAGACAGAAATGTTTTGTGCATTTTTGTGGTAAAACATAAATAAATATTTAGTCAAAGAATCGGATGATCATCTTTATTAACATAATACATTTAGCAATTGTACACAATGTAAAATTAGAAAACGAGAACTGCCACCTGTAATTATCCCAAAATTGGATGTTGTAATAGGATCAGTGGAATATTCACAAGTTATTTTTTGTCTTACCTATCCTGGTCCTCATTACTGTCTAGACAAGTAGAAAGTAGTACAGCCTAAGCATTATTAGCACAAGGTAGGTTATCGCTGCCCATACATATTAGAAGATTGATTCACTGGCTATCAAACCGCGAGATGGCTATTTGTTTATGCATACCCATATACTGTGTACCTATCAAAAGGCAGTTAAATCGTGTTAAAAAAGCCAAAATTACCTTTCGAAACCAGTCAAAATTTCTGCTATAAAACATGCACTTGTACTTTTATACAGCGTTTAAAATATAACTCCACTTTTCTTTGGAAAATTGCAGATTGCGGAGTCCAACCTGTTGCTTTTCAGTTGAAACAGACACATATATTCCACCCATTTCCTCATTTTAAGGCTGGCTTCACATTTGTGATCCTATCACGGGCTACAATGTGACCAGACAGGTTAGCTAAAAGAGTATTATGAAGATACTCACCTATTTTGCACATTTTCGTGACATGAATAAGAAGATCTAGACCTTTGTAACATAGTTGGTCTCCATACAGCTGTTTACAATCCATTTACACTAATGCGGTATGTTAAACGGCACATTATGCCGCCTTATGTTATTCCGAACGACACCAATACATGACATGTGCATTTCCACAACACGATAGTGTGAAGGAGTCCTTAATCTCTGACCTGGAGAAGCCTGGGTCTAGGATGTAGATCATCCCCAGGCTCATCACAACAGACTAGCCATCCAATGCCAGCATTTGAGCCAAATCATCTCTGAATTCATGCTGACATTGTCTTTTCTTCTAGAAGGTGGCTGCTTTTGTTTCCCATGGTTCCTGTGTGTGTTATAAAGTAGCCACCGCTCCAATTGACTCCTGTGATGGACTACAATCTCATGTTTAGTTTACTAATTTGTAATTAATTTATAGTCTATCACAGGAGCGAGCTGGGAGTGGTGACTACTTTACAACACACAGGGACCATGAAGAACAAAAAGTAGCCATCCTCCAGAAGGAAGGACAGTGTCGGCACCGATTCAGAGATGATTTGAGGCTCTACAGCCGAGTGATACACAAATAAAGGTACATTTTTGTTAAAAGTTAAAAGGTACTTAAATGTATTTAATATGGAAGCACCGATACCGAGTATTTGGGCGAGTACTCGTCCAAATGCTCCGATGCCCGATACCAGGAAGCGAGTCATTACACGCTGCCCGGCTTCCCGATTGGCTAGAAAGCCGGCTCCATGTTTTCACGTCACCTAGTTACGGGAAGCATGGGGACAGCTTCCCTGCTAATCAGGAAGCCAGGTGGTGAGTCATTACACACCGTCTGCCTTCCTTAATGGAACTTCCCAGGCCATCAGGAAGCCGGTGTAAAGACTCGCCACCCAGCTTCCCGATTAGCAGGGAAGTTGTCCCCATGCTTCTCGTCACTAGGTGACGAGAAAGCACGGAGCCGGCTTTCTGGCCAATCAGAAAGCCGGCGCCGTGTAATGACGCAGCGCCCGGCCTCCTGCTCCCGCGTCATGAGGTGACAAGGTAGCATGAAGCTGGCTTCCCGGCCCATCAGAAAGCTAGTCAGTGAGTCATTACAAGTTATCGTCACAAGTGACGAGGGAGCATGAAGCCGGCTTTCCGGCCATTCAGGAAGCCGAACAGCGTGTAATGACTTGCTTGCCGGCTTCCTGATACCGGAAGTATTTGGCTAGGCATCGGAACGAGTACTCGCCCAAATACTCGGCATCGATACTAGTATCGGTGCATCCCTACTTTAAATGTATTAAACTATAGTTAGGCTTCAAAAGCCCTGTCTGAACACTTAATATCACCCCTTTTGGGTGTGTAACAAGTTCATTTGATAGCCTACCCCCTCTACTGATGATATACTGTGAAGTCACTCCTGAAGACAGAAGATGCCAATACACTATAAAAGCTGCCCGGAGACAAAGTGATCATCAACTCCTCCAAAAAATAATCTCATGCCCGGGGATAGATACAGACTGACAATCATAGTGGAGGAAGTTATCACAGAAGTGAGAAAACCTTGCCCATTCATTATTGTTTCTTCCGAGATAAGTTGCACTGGGACTGTTTACAATAAACACGTGCCACAACGCTCTCTTAATTATTCCTACATTGGAACAATTGTTTATCCTCATTGTTATTCCGGGAGCTGGATTTAAAGAAGAATTTGAAAGTGTTTGGGCTGTGCCGCCACAAAAAAGCATCTGCAGATATCTATGGCCATGTACTCTTTCTCATAACACATTGCTGAAGTTTGAATAGATTTGGAGATGCATGCATATCACCTAAGTTTACAGATCCTTATTAGTATTTGCTTTAGTAATTATTTAGTATTAAACTCTTAAAATGTTTGTCAATAATGAATCCAGATCAAACTTAGTCCAGTAAACTATTCCTAAAATTATAAAGCTGGGCAGAGTTCTGCTTCTCAGCTAGATCAAGTGGCGGGAATGCTGGGGAAAAAGCATGTGCCCAGCGTATAGCTGAGCAGATGGTTTATAAATCATCCCCTTATTATTCAGTAAAAGTATCACACACACACACACACACACACACACACACTACCTGTCTGCTGCTTCAACACATTTCCTGTCTGGGAGTGTGCACACCTAAAATCAGTACTAATCTTTGGGAACAACCTACCCATCATACTGTAGCATAAGAGCACGTGTGCCCCCACATTAATCACATTTTCAGATGCGAGGATGTTGCTTGCGCGGATGTCCTGTAACCTGATGCTGGGAGCGAGCATGCAAAGTTGGCTACCACTGGCCACCATAGGACCCTGGAAGGGAAAGGAGCCACCCTAAGGGCTTCATGCACACATTCGTATTAAAATATTCCCATCTATACTGAATATGTGTGCCAGAAGCAGGCAGAAAATCTAGCATAAAAAAATTGCACATTGCTGCTCACGTTAATGAGCATGTGCGAATAAACTCATTCAGTTGACTAGAATATTCCATAATTCTAGCCACTAGAATGTATTTATCTGCAGATATGTGTCAATTATGCCAGTAAGCACCTCTCTCTTTATATGCAGGTTTGGGGTATTTTTCTTTTTACTACTGAACTCCCAAAAAACAGATCTAAAATGCCACAATGTGTATGAACACATTGGCTGAAATAGAGCTGCGTTTATAGACATATATAAAAACACTCAACACATGCAAAGCCACACAATGAAAATTTGGGCTTTCCCAGTACTTAGGACTACACAGCTGGGTGCATGCAGCCACCCATAGACATGAATGGCTGTATACGGGTATACGTCAGTACTCATAAAAGCATACGGATGTATTGCCTGAGCACAAAGTCTATGTTCAAGAAATGTAGCCGTATGCTATATGCAAATTTACCCATATACAGCAATTAATGACTATGGGCAGCTGTGTAGTCACGGGCGCAAAAAAAAAAGAAAAGCTGCATTTATGATGTAAGCTCCTAAACACTCCTGCCTGACTGCTTCAAGTGGTCTGCGTGTATGAGGCATATTAGAAGGTGGGGCTAACCCTTATGGACCATTCACACCACCTGCGCTGGAGCTGCGATAGCCATTCTTTTCAGTGCCGCCCCAATACAAGACATTAGGGCTTGGTTGTGACGGGAACACGGTGCTGTGCAATGACAAAAGTACGGCATGCTGTACTTTTATTCAGCGCAGCGGGATGCAACGCAGTTCAAGCACCTCTCACCCGTGACATTTCAATAAAGTTCTAACAAGCTAAATGTACACAGTGTGGTGCGCTGCGATCAGCACAATGCCTGCGCAGCCTCTGGTGTGAATGGGCCCTAAGGGAAACATCTCATTCAGGAGGAAAGCAGAACATTGAAAAGCATCATGAGACAGTAGTGGTGACATGAGCAGTAAGAAGAAACAAATGTGGGCTTCTATTACTTATGATGCGATACTGTTGCAGGATCTTCCGAATGAATTGGGGTGATCAGGGCCCCAGTGGCAGGGCAGGCTGCCTTCCCTCCCACCCTATTACCTGGTAGTTGGCGGCGGGCCTGGGAGAGTATCCTCGGGCGTTGTGCTGCTGGTAATGGTTTCCTCCTCCTGGAGACTTGCTGTACGGTGACAGGTTATAGCGAGGACTGGCTCTTCGGGGTGGGGTATTACCTGGAGACTGACCGCCGTACCAGCCCCCGTACGGGTTCTGAGAAGGCGAAGAGCGCGGAGATTGTCCTCCCCCGCTCCCGTACGGCCTGGGAGGCCGCTGGCCGTAATTTGGCGTGTGCGGGCTCCCGTAGCCCCAGGGTGGCAGTGGCGGAGGAAGCATGGGGCTCCCGGAGCCTAACGGCCCTGGGCTGCGGAACGAACCCGGGCTTCCTTCACCACCACCGCTTCCACAAGGGTTGGGGGAGCGAAAATTCGGTCTGTACATCGTTAAAAGCCTCCGTCCCTAATGTGATATCGATTCGAAACTAGCGCTCTGTGTTGTAAAGATCTTACACCCAGTACAAGCAGCGTACCTAACAGAGAGGAAGTTCCGTCTTGTGCCACATTACCAGTTCCGGAGAGCGAAACAGTTCCTCGCTTAAACGTTCCTATTGCTTACTCGCACCTACCAATGATCATTTGCAACTTGGCTGTAACCCATTAAGTAGAATGGTTGTGGGTTGGTTTTGTATTAGTTTACTTTGTATTAGTTTATAAGTCTTTAAAACAGTGTGTGTTATGCTAGTAAATGTGGCTCATCCCGAGTGATTATAGCCTAATAGGGGTGGTTAAAGAGACCCTGTGGTCCAGACCATTGATTTCAGCAAAAATCTTTCCAAGAGATTATATGTACATATACATTGTATGTTACCCTAAAATAAATGATTCTATCTATGTGTCTGTGTGTCCATGTGGATGTATGTATATATATATATATATATAATGTATATGTAGCTTGTTCTTTTTTATTTCTGAGGCCCTAATTTACCTGCAAATGGGACTGATTGCATAAGTTTTAAAAACTCCTTTGTGAGACTCATGTGGTCTGCGGGCAGGAGCCGCTGTACAATACAATGACAGTTTGCAGGCTGTCCGCAAAAAAAAAAAAAAAATACATGTTGGTGAGCGCACCAACAGTTTGCGTCCAGGTGAAGTCATCCACAGGTAATAGCATGTCCGTTAACCTGCGAACAGTCCGGCCTTTGAATAGCTGTGGGCACTGCCAGATGTTGCTTCTCTTACCTGCAGCAGATTGCATGAGTCTCATGAAGGAATTTGTAAGAAGCAGCAATCCTACCCCATTCACAGGTGCGTAAAAATATAACATGAACTAAACCACATCCCCTTTTTATCTTGGTCTTAACAAATGTATTATCACCTTCTTCCATTTAGAATGAATGATGTGCAGGAGTTCACCAAGCCTGCAAAAAACTATGACTGATACACCCTCCTCTTGGCCCAATCAGTGTGGCACAAGGATTCCCCACCCCTTTGTCAGATGTAGCTGTGAGGTGGGGAATGCCCCCGCTGGAGCTGATTGGCACAGGGTAGGTGAAAATTTTGTCTGGATGAACCCACTCATCACTATTTAGAACTAATGTGCTGATCGCAGTGCAATGCACACTACATACATGTACTGTGAACAGTGCTACTGGCACTATATGATAAAATACTTCCTGATGCGGGATTCCTTATTGATACAAATCTGAGTACACGTCCGCATATATTCATTTGGTGAAATGTGATGACGTGGCGAAACAAAAATGCAGTACGTCTTTACCATGTAGACACACTTCCCATGTTTTATTGCTTTAAACACCCTACAAGTACAGAAGAATACCTGTTGATCGACCACAAATGTAGAAATGTACTCCGCTCCTACGTTCTGTTGTGGGCTGGCGACACACAACAGTTTTGTAAATCGAGTGCCCTACCTAGTTGTCTTTTAGCTAAACTACTGAAACCCACCCACATTTCCATTTCCTCAACATAGACACTTATCATTCTGTAGTAAAAATTGTAATTATTATTATATTATATAGGATTTTTATAGCGCCAACAGTTTGCGCAGCGCTTTACAATATAAGGAAGACATTACAATCACAATACAATTCAAGATAAGATGGTAAGGAGGACCCTGCCCATGAGGGCTTACAATCTAATTGGGGGGTAATTATACCAGACAGCTCTGAATTTTTCTGACAAGATCACCATGTATTTTGTTGCCCCTATTGAACAGACAAAAGAAAACGGTTTCACTTGTATATTTAACAGACTAAAAGGTAGCAAACAACAGAATGGTTATGGTTTGCCCTTTCCCTGCCACCTACGTAAAGCTTATGTCAGCAGCAGCACCACCGACATGTATGGATGCTAAAGCAACCAGAGTTTGCATATTTTCTCCACAGACTGTTGGCTTTCTTGTGGAAGTGATTCTACATGTAATGTGTAACAGTAATATACCCCCCTCCCCCACATTGTGTTCTGGGCTCACTTGTCTCTCCTGGGTGCCTGGGGCCACTATGGCGGGTGTCAGGATGCAGAGAACGGCAGGAGACTAACAAAAATCTATTCACTGATCGCCCTTGTGCAGGATGATACCGGAAGCGGTCAGCCCTGGTTACTTCCAGGTTTGGTGTTGTCATTTCCTTGCCTCAGTGGTCAGGAAAGAAACTAGAGGTTGCGGCGAGTAATTAGATACCAAACATGTCAAGCTTTAAAATCTTGCGCCCCTGGGAAATGGCGAAAAACGACTGTACCCAAAACTGTCCATAGTTATCATGTCATCAGTTTGGTGAATTCACACCAGATGCTTTGGGACTGCACTGGTTGTTTTTTCAACGCTGCGGATGGACACCATTCACACCACCGTGTTGCAGTTGGAACGTAGTGGTGGGTGCTAAAGAAAAGTACTGCATGCAGTCCTTTTTTTCAGCGCAGCGTGATCCGACGTGGAACTAAGTGACAAAGAGGCACGTGCATCCTAGCAACAAAGCACACTAGGTGGCAAAGAGCCTTTGTTGCTAGGATGTAAGGCGTTGTCTGCATCCTAGCAACAAAGGCCACTAGGCACCTCAAGCCAACTGCATCCTAGTAAGGCAGGATGCTAGCAGGCAGGAGCCTTTGTCGCTAGGATGAAGGTGGCTCCATTACAGTGCATTTGATCGATACCCATGTAAGCACAATCATTTCCATACGCATGGCGTAAAATATGGTCATATGCAGCACCTCAGACGCAGATTTTTCTATTTTGCCGTTACAGATCTAGGCCCAGAGAAAAAAATATTCACATTTTATAGGGCCTGTTAACACCTGTGCGCGGCGCTAACACACATGCAGTCTGTGTGCGTTGCGTTATGAGATCCATTTCTTTTTGAGTGGGCCATAATGTACCAATTTTCATAACGCTGCGACCGTTCACACCTATGCACTTCGGTAACACACATGCAGTCTATGCACACTGCGTTATGAAGTCCGTTTCTTTTGAGTGGGCCATAATGTACCAATTTTTTTTAACGCAACAACCGTTCACACCTGTGTGCTGCGGTAACACACATGCAGTCTATGCGTGCTGCGTTATGAAGTCCATTTCTTTTGAGTGGGCCATAAAGTACCAATTTTCTTAACGCAACAATCATTTTCATCTATGCACTACAATGTACGTGCACTGCGTTGGTGCGTTATTCAAAATAGCTACGTAACGCACTTCAGTACATGCATTGCTGCGTGATTGCAGAAATGCAGAGTGTGAAAGGACCCTTACATGCCTGTGTGTGAGTGAGAGAGTGTTTATGAGTCCAGCATTATATTGAACACACGTCATGCAGACAGTTCTCCAGGCTATTATCACTTGATCGCTGTACAGCCTCGTCACACGTACAGAGCCCCATGCCTGGAAATCAATAACAGGCCTGGAGGTCAATGTCCCTCCTCCGCCCCGCCCCCAGCTCTCGGCCCCGCCCCCAGCTCAGGACTCCCGTGTGTCCCGGGAGAAGTGGCTGTAGTGTGGTGTCGGGTGCTGTGCTGCGCTGTCTCCGGGGTTCACGTTTATATCTATCATTATAAATCATGTACGTCGCTGCTCGACTTATGGAGGCCTTGAGGAGGAGCAATATAGGGGCGAGGAGGTGTGGAGCCTCCCCCTTCATAACCTCCCCCTTCAGCCAGCGGAGGGGGGTCTTCCAGAGAGGTATAATGACACCCGTCCTGTCTACGGAGATGAGTTTATTGGCACAGTGTCAGGGCAGCAGGATGTTCATTCCAGAATTATATAGGAAGCTGGTCACACACTATGCAATCTGATCGTACTGTCTACTGTATACTCAACATACACCTCCAATCTAATTGTACAAGCTCCTTTAGGGTCACCATACACATTACAAGCTGACCGTACAATCATTGTACAATCAAATTCTACTATAGATCAGTTTATATTCAGCCAAGCCGCCCTTGCACTACATACTTATTGGTAGATCTAAGGGAGATTGTACAATCAGATTGTAACGTGTGTGCTGAGCTTTTGACCTACCAATACGTTTGCAGTGCAAGTGCCTGCCTGATTGGATGCCAATTGATTGGATAGATGAGGTCGGTCCTCATATTACTGTACATAGATTTGATAAATCTAACATTGGATGTGCAAAGATTGAACCGTGTAGGTAACCCTGGCTCTTCAGATGTGGTGCAACTACAAATCCCATGAGGCTTTGCAAGACTCTTGACAGCCACAGACATGACTCCATGAGGCAGAGGCATGATGGGATTTGTAGTTGGACCACAGCTGGAGGGCCGAAGTTTTCCTATCCTTGCTATAGAAGATTATACAGAAATTGTACAATGTGATTGTATGGTGTATGGCCGGCTTAAGGCAGATGATGTGTTTATTGCATTAACCACTTGCTGTCCGGGGCATTTTCTTACTATTTGCACACACATGATAAAATATAGATTTTTGGCTAGAAAACAGCTTCAGACCCCCAAACAATGATATCTTTTCTGAAAGCAGAGGCCCTGTAGAATAAAAAAATGCTAGTTGAAATTTTTTATGTCGCATGATATTTGCGCAAATGTTTATCAAACCAGTAATTTTAGGAAAAAGTAAACTAAATTAAACTTTAGTGCACAGAAACAGAATATAATCCACAATTTTTTGGTAAAATATGAAAGATGGGGTCACGTCGGGTAAATGGATACCAAACATGTCAAGTCTTAAAATTGTATTCGCCCGTGAAGCCGAGAAAAACTGCCATACCCAAAATTTCCCATAGGGAACTCTTTAAATGCTTTTACCGCTCATCAGTTTAGTGCTAACAGGCGGGGACTTTAAAAAACGTTTTTTTGCTTTTTTTACATTTTTCTAATTAAATTACTTTAATTTTTATAACTTTATCTTTTTTTTTTTTTTACACTAACCCTATTGCTATTACATAGGGGCTAACAAGCACCCTATGTAATAGCAGATAGGGTGTGACAGGTCCTCTTAATGGAGACATCAGGGGTCTTTCAGACCCCCTAATGTCACCTAGGGGCCCTAAAGCAGCATGAAGAAACTCAGATCTGCTTCCCCAGCTTCTTGTCCTGGCTCTAAGAGCCGGAGACTGTAAGCCCTCGTTCACACTAGAACGTTTTGTAGCGCGTTCTACGCTCGACGAACGCTCTACAAAACGCTCAAAAATATAAATCCCATTGCATTCAATGGTCTCGTTCCCACCTTGGCGTATTTCCGCCCATCCCTAACGCGCTACAAAACGGCCCACGCCTGAAAAGGTACAGGTACTACTTTGGGCCGTTTTGTTGCGCGTTTCCATTGGGATACAGCCAAGTAGCCTTCGGAAACGCGCGTTTGTCGCGCGACTTTTTTACTGCGAATCGCGGTAAAAAAACGCGCGACGGTCGCGCATATGCAATACGCCTAGGTGTGAACGAGACCTAAGAGTGATGCGGGAAGTGATGTAATACACATCACTTCCGGTCCAGTGATCGGAAGAGAGATCAGCTGCTGGAAGCCGTTGAATCTCTCTCCGATCGTTGGGGGAGACCCGCCGAACCAGTCCCGGGTGCCGCACGGGGACAGCGGAGCCCGGGGAAACCAATGGTGACCCCGGCCGTGAGGGGGAGGGCCCCGCACGATACAAACGAATCGGCTACTGTTCGGACGCCGGATCGCTTGTACATTAAGCCCCCATTCACACCTAGGCGTATTGTAATATGCGCGTCTGTTGCGCGTTTTTTTTACCGCGATTTGCGGGAAAACGCGCGCCGGTCGCGCGATTCCGAAGGCTACTTGGCTGTATCCCAATGGAAAACGCCCTACAAAACAGCCCAAAGTAGTCCCGGGAGCTTTTCAGGCGTGGGCCGTTTTGTAGGGCGTTAGGGACGGGCGGAAATACGCCAAGGTGGGAACGAGGGCATTGACTACAATGCAATTTATATTTTTGACCGTTTTGTAGAGCGTTCGTCGAGCGTAGAACGCCCTGCAAAACGGTCAGGTGTGAACGAGGCCTAACAGCCATCGCTGGCTGTTAAAAATGACACCAAGAACACGGCTGTTGTTCTCGTTTTAACCTCCTCTGTGGGCCGCCGTCTATAAACATTAAACTTTAACCCCCCCAATTACAATAAGTTTGAGATATGTGACACATATGTACTTCCTATGTAGCCTGTAACCCTAGAGTGGTGACAATGGTAGTTGGCAGTTTCCCTTTATGGCAGGAGTAGGCAACTTCAGCCCTTCAGCTGTGGTGAAACTACAAATCCCATCAGGCCTCTGCTTCCAGGAGTCATTCCTGTGGTTGTCAGTGTCTTGCAATGCCCCATGGGATTTGTAGTGTTGATACATTCCTACCCCTGGTCTATGGGGTTACAAAACAAGAAGCCAGATGTGTTCTGCAAACATTGACTTAGGTATCCTAATAAAACATATATTTTGTAACCCCCATGTCAGAAAATGGAATTAGGGTACATCAGTCATTTGCCTAAGGTCTACCATACACTACAGCAGGGTTAGGCAACTCCGGCCCTCCAGCTGTTGTGGAACTACAAGTCCCATGAGGCATTGCAAGACTGCCAGTTACAGGCATGACTCCCAGAGGCAGAGGCATATTGGGATTTGTAGTTAAAGCACCCCTGGAGGGCCGGATTTGCCCGCTCCTGCACTAACTGACTGCAAAATATTTGTTTTACTTGCTGGGAGCAATAAGCAGCCTACTATTGGATATTTCAAATTGCAATAGTCAATAACAAGCTGGCTATTGCACCCGCCCACTGCTTGCTGTAAACCGGCAGATGAGGGACCTGAAGGAGGAAGTTCTCCATCAGGTCCTCCTCTGCTGATTGACATCAGGCAGTGGGCAGGTGCAATAGCCAGCCAGCTATTGGCTATTGCATTTTAAAATATCAAAAAGCAGACTGGGTATGGCACCCAGCCT